TTTCATATCAAACATCTATCGTCCTTATCTCCCCTTCTTTTTTATGTTTGTTACTCTCTTGTAACGCCTCTAATCTTCTGGTGCTCATATGACCTTATGCAGTTGCGAGTGCCGTAAAACCTCTACTAAAACTAAACTGAGTAGGAAAGTTATGGACGATGTTTGATAGGGGGTGTGCACTCCTTCTGTCTGTGATGTTCTTCCGCTGAGCTTGCTAGCCGGGACAGCAGTCTCATGCCTCGGTGTTTGTGGACTTGTTTTTTTGTTTTAGTAAAGGTTTTACGGCGCTCACGACTGCATAACGTCATATGAGCGCCTTTGTGGACTTGTGGTCTAGATTTAGCGCACTTAAGGCATTTTGGACCCAGGGTCTTTGATGGTGTCACTTACCTCATTCCATATGGTCACTTTTAAGGACGAGCGGGCTAACCCAGATTTCGGGGGGTTCCAGAAATCTTGACCTACACCAAAAGTAGGCATTGCCCCACCCATAGGAGAAGTTTTGGTTTCATAGATGTGTATATTTTTTTTGGTTATAGAGGAAACTCTTCTTGTATTTTAAAGAAACTGAACAAGTTGCAAAAACTTTACCTTCGATTTTCTCAAAACAGCATTTTTCGGGAAGCCCCCTTGTGCTTAAAAGTGACCATATATTCCTGATCTTACTCATACTTTCCATTGAACTTGCAAATTATATCTAAGTCAAAAGGTGAAATTTGCTGCTTTTATTAAGATATTTTTTTGTGTATGTTTTGCAAGAGCAGGCTTTTTTCGGCAAGACTTGACCTATATTTAGTTAATTTTGGAAAGAGGTATTATTTTAACGATTGTATTTGTGAGCTTGTGAAAGTCATGAACTGGTAGAGGAGAGAACTCTGTATGACTCCATGCGACACTTTTGCTTTCAGAGCAGTGTATAACGCAGACGACCTTGAGGCGCGGTCGGCCATGATGCTCGCCAGCTGCTCTGCGGGAATCGGGTTTGGCAACGCCGGTTGCCATCTATGGTGAGATAGATATGTTTAAAAAAAATCTCAATGCTATCCTCATACCATCAATGATTTATTTAATAATAATAATAATAATAGATAGCATTTGTATAGCGCATATCCCCGCTCAGCAGCAGGCTCTATGCGCTTTACACTATATTATTACCCCAGCAGACCATAGAACACTCCGAAACATTCTCAGCTTCCCGGGAAGCATACAGTGCAAGCAGCCGATTAAGCGCTCAAAGACTTACAAACTGACAAGATCTTTCGCTGTCTATAGCCGGGTACCCATTCCCACCTGGGTGAAGTGAGGAAAATTCGTGTTAAGTACCTTTCCCAAGGACACAACGTCGGGCCCTTGACGGGATTCGAACCCACGACCTTACGGTTGCGAGTCCGAGAGCCTAACCACTAGGCCACAGACGCCACATAACCTCATGAGGCTCTCCTCATAATTGACCATTTGTCTACCCTGGAATTACAAAGTTCTGTCTGCTCAGTGCCTAGCTTTGAGAAAGGAAGTGTCTATGTACTCCCCGATTGGGGTCTACGTAGTCATGGTGTCTACGTGGACCCCAAAAATGTTGGATTGTGATTGGCTCGCTGAGCGAGCGGTAGTTTACATTGGTTACATTGCAAGGCTGATAGGCCTACTTACTGATCATCTCGGGTAGTATGTCTATGTTGTGTTACTGTTACTATAATTAATTTATTTTAGCCGAGAGAGAGAGAGAGAGAGAGAGAGAGAGAGAGAGAGAGAGAGAGAGAGAGTATTTAATGAATAAACGTATCTAGATCTAGATCTAGATTTTGTTGTGCACCCAGCCAAGAGTGTGCACTTCGGTCTAGATTTAGATTTATATGTGTCCTCAGCCACGCCCTGTTTTATCCTGATGGTTTTGACAGTGTGTTTGTTTGTTTATTTATTTGTTTGTTTATTTGTTTATTTGTTTGTGTCCTCAGCCACGCCCTGTCCTACCCCATCTCCGGCCTGGTAAAGAACTACGTCGCCGAGGGTTACGGGGATGACCACCCTCTTGTGGTGAGTGCTGCCAGATTGGCTGCTCCTTTTTTTTTTTTTTTGTCTTTGCGGTTATTTTAATTAAATATATTTGTGGGTGGTTGGCGGGTGCTCTGGTGTGGTTTGCTTCTTCTTTCCTATCAAATATCTATCATCCTTATCTTCCCTCTTTCTTTTTTGTGTTTGTTACTCTCTAAACTCTCTTGTATAACACCTCTAATCTTCGACACTTGTATGACCTTATTGTGTTGAAAGTGCCGTAAATCACTTACTATAACTAAAAAAACCCACCATATTTATACAGTATAACGAGGGTGCGGTGGCGAAGTAGTTAGTGCGCTCGTCTCTGAAGTGGAAAGTCCGAGTTCGAGCCTGGGTTCGGACACGGATTTATTTTCACCCCGTCCTGCCCACCCAGCAGTAATGGGTCCCTGACTTCGAATTGGGGAAGTAAAGGCGGCGTAGAAAGGAACTGGCCACCCTACCACAATATGCCAAAGGCCCAGGAAGTTGTCTCACTAACAAGGCAATCTCCAATGTCCGGATCGGATGCGGGAACAACTTTACTTTTATACAGTATAACATGGATACCTCAAATTCGTCGGGACCGGCCTTGATAGAGGGATCCGTTGTTCGAAGGATATCTGACAAAGATAAAGAAGATGAAAAAAATGGAACTGCAGGCACAGTTCGACTGATGCGTGATTTTGAGACTTCTGTGTTGGACCTATTCGTGTTATACTGTACGAATATTTATAATAATAATAACAAATAATGACTCAAATAGCATTCGTGAGGCATCGTGGTGAAATCAGGCGCTCGTCAAAATAATGAAATTTCATAGGTATTTGATTTTTTAAAATGCGAATGGTGTCTCTTTCAATCTTATCTGACCTTATCTTACTGAACTTTATGTTCGTCTAATAATTTCATATTTGATTTTTCTAATGCGATTGTGGGTTTTTTCAGTCTTTTCTCGTCTGATCTTATCTTATTGAATCGTTTCTTGTCTGGGCTTATTTTATTTAATGTCTTGTAATGGGATCAAGTTCTTTTGAAATGTTACTACAGTCAAACCTACGATACTAGAAACATGTTTCATTTCATTTAGTGCTAGTTTTTTGCTAGTTTTTGCTAGTTTTTCGAAACTATTCCTGAAGAACCAAGTCTTTTAATAATGACTAAGCCTTTGTTTCCGCCATATATGAGGCAAGTTTTTGGGCATATAGTGAGACGTAGTGCCCCAGGTTTAGGTGACTGTAGAAAAAACTCTTGGAAACAGTGGAAAAAACTTAGGGTTTAAAGAGTTAAGACAATCACGTGTGCAAATAGACTACATACTGACACTGTGTAAGATACCCCCCCTGGGCATTGCCACTGACTGTAGTGTCTTTAGGCCATTCCCAAAGGGGGGACATTTCTCGTTCAAGCATAGGAGAATTGTAAATGGACTGACTCATCATGTCACGCTCATAACTGTGCCTGATCTACAACAGGGAACTGCTACTTTTTCTTTCCTAATCCTTACTATTGTCATTTTCCTCTACTTCGTTTGTATGTTTGTCACACTCTTGTGACCTGCTATTTCCGGGTTTCTGGGGTGCCTTGATAGTCGAAGCAGACTTTGTGCTGTTGAAACTAGAGAGGTGAGCAGAGTAAGCCTGATTCCCTGTAAAGGCTTCTCTGTTGACACCTACCCCTTGGTGCTCATATGACCGTATGCAGTTGCGAGCGCCGTAAAACCATCTACTAAACTAACAAACTAACTGTGTAAGACATCCACCTGTATGAGATGACCCCTGTTCTCATCAACTATTGGCTGCCGTCTTTCTTAGACAGTATTGACAGTAATTTGACTATTCTGGTCTAATCGTGTCTTCGGTCAGTGGCATTGGTTGTTTCGTGGTTAGGCTGGTGGTCTCGTTTTGGGGTTCGAGCCTCAGGCCTGATGTTGTGTCCTTGGGAAAGCAAGTTATGCGAATTCTTTTCACAGTTTTGAGAAAAACGAGTTTGAAATGAAATTTTGACGATGTTGAAATCTCTATAACATAGTCAAAAAAGAATCGTTAGTATTTCTATACCAGATTAAGCTGTGGCTTAGATATTTACAGAGGCAAGAGAGCGGCTTCAAATCTCACTACCCATATATCGATGACTCCATTTTGACCAAAAGTCGATATAGAGTCACTTCTTGCGCTTTGCCATCGAAATGCTGTCATCTATTATTATTATTATTATTATTATTATTATTATTATTATTATTATTATTATTATTTTTATTATTATTATTATTATTTTTTTTTTATTTTTTTATTTTTTATTATTATTATTATTATTATTATTATTTTTATTATTATTATTATTATTATTATTATTATTATTATTATTATTATTATTATTATTATTATTATTACTACCATTATTATTACTACCATTCTTCTTCTTCTTCTTCTTCTTCTTCTTCTTCTTCTTCTTCTTCTTCTTCTTCTTCTTCTTTATCATTATTATTATTATTATTATTTATCATTATTTTTTTTTCATTATTATTATTATTATTATTATTATTATTATCATTTTTATTATTCATCATTATTATTATTATTATCATTATTATCATTATTATTATTATTTATCATCATCCTTATTATTATTATTGTTGTTTATCATTTTTATCTTCCCTCGCCGTAGCCTCACGGTCTGTCCGTAATCATCTCGGCCCCCGCTGTGTTCAAGTTCACGGCCCAGGCTTGTCCGGAGCGCCATCTGGAGGGAGCGGAAGCTCTCGGTGAGTCGCTTTGACCTTGTTTAAATTTTAGTCCGTTTTGCGCTGTTTACAACTGTGTATAAGTAAGGTTATATGAGCACACTTTGACTTTGAATTTTTTAATTTTTAAAAAATCTTTTCATATTTTTTTTTAGTACCACTTAGTGTTCCACTCAACATGGCATAATAATAATGATGATAATAAGAAGAAGAAGAAGAAGAAGAAGAAGAATACTAATAAGAATAGTAGTAATAGTAATAATGATAATAATGATAATAATAATAATAATAATAATGATGATGATAATAGTAATAATAGTAAAAGTTGTTATGATAATAATAATTATGACTATTATTATTATTATGATATTAAAATGATAAAAATGCAGATGATTTGTTGTGCCCCCTCCCGTCCTGTACAGGTGTAGGCATTTTACGTACAATAAGCCTACCTTCAGCTCAGCACAAAACACATGGGCCTGACATGACAGCACAGCCCGATGAAAGTAATACAGCTGAGGCTGTTGAAACTGTAGGCTGACATCATGTTAATCCGAAAACTGCGATAAAGGGAAAGGAAAAATATTATTTTCGATTTTTTTTTTCTTCACTATTTGAGCTATCTTTCCAAACGAATGACTAACATAAAGCAAAGAAAATCCCAGTGGCCCTGCAGATTTTGGTGTAACTTTTTATCTCCATGAGGGGTATACCCACTATGCCGGGCCCCTTTTTTGGTACAAAATCTAAAAATGACAAAAACGTCACTAAATGGGTCGTTAAATCCAAACAAGTGAGCCTATTTTGATAGTTTTTCGTCTAATGAATGAACTCCCGATAAAAGAGACCTGTTTTGGGTAATTGCCTAAAAGTAATTTGATGTCAAAGTCACTGTAAAGGAATGTGCCCGGGCCACTGTCAGCGACTCACCGGCATAGCGGTTCCGACCACGAGCCGCTGAGAGTGGCTTACCGGAGATGAAGAGTTACGAAGACCCCTTTGTGGTTATTTTTAGTTTTATTTACTTCTTGCTCTTGTTGCAGGTTACGACATCCGCAACGCCAAGAAGGCTGATGCCGGCAAGATTGTGGGCGACGTTTTGCTGAAGATTATGGACGACATCGGCTGCCCCGACGGCATTGGCTCTCTGGGTTACAAGTCCGAAGATATTCCCAATCTGGTCAAAGGAGCTTTGCCGCAGGTATGCAGGACTCTGGAATCAGCCGAACATTTTCGTTTCTGCCAGTTTCTTTTTTTTTTGGAGGGGGGGGGGTTGTGTTTGTTTTTTGGGGGTTTTTTCTTGGTTTTTTGGTGTGTTTTTTTTTACAAAGAGTAAGAGGACATTGCCCTCCTGTCGATATAAGAGAAGCCAAGGCTTCAGCTTGATCAGGGTATATCAGTCCTGCTTTGAGCTCAGCACAAGGAAGAAAAGTTACCATGAGGTGTGATGAGGGAGGAAGAAGAAGGTTTTTTCTATATCGCTGAGGGGAAACTGCGACTCGGCTCTACTTTACCTGCTGTACTGTACTGTTACCACGGCGAACGAAGCCCCTCAGCGTGAGCCCAAGGGCTGTACGATTACCTACAGCTTTGTTTTAGTAAGAGTTTTACGGCACTTGCAACACAATACGGTCATATATAAGTGCAAAAGATTAGAGTTGTTACAAGAGAGTAACAAACACAAAAAAGAAGGAGGGGACGATAAATGTTCGACAGGAAAAAAGAAGCAAACCACACCAGAGCACCCACCAACTACCACGGATTAACTACACGACAGCATCAATACACAGAACAGCTGTGGGTGATTGGCGGTTGCTCTGGTGTGGTTTATGGGAGAAATAAATATCTTGCCCATGCTGTACTGCAGCGGAAACTGGCTCATTGCAAGCAGTACCTTTTTCCTCACATTGCTACCTATTTTTCCTTGATCATTTTGTCAAGAATTTTCTTTTGAATGAATTTTTTAAAAATTTATGTGTGCTGCTTTTAGAAGATTATCTCCCTTTTCCTAGGATTCGGGGGCTTAAGTTGAGGTTCAACTGAATTTTTTTTTTTTTCTTCAACATAGCTTGACCAGTTCCTTTTTGCTTGTCCACCAACTTCTGTTTTGTTTGTTTGAGCATCGCTTGACCACCAACTTCTGTTTTGTTTGTTTGAGCATCGCTTGACCACCAACTTCTGTTTTGTTTTGTTTGAGCATCGCTTGACCACCAACTTCTGTTTTGTTTGTTTGAGCATCGCTTGACCACCAACTTCTGTTTTGTTTTGTTTCAGCATCGCTTGACCAAACTGTCCCCCCGTCCAGCCCAGGGGGATGACCTCTCCAGCATCTTGACCGACTCTCTGAAGATCTACTGATCTCCGCGGGACTGCTGCCACAGATCTGCACGTTCATGCACTGTCTACCAGCTGTGAATGATGGTAAAATCCGCACGAGTTATTTTTGTTCAAAGTTCTTCATTCATATTTTGCGATGGAAGAATTGGTTGAGATCCGTGGCATGAGAAAATGGCAGCGTTTCGCGACCTCAGTGCTTTCTTGTCCTATCTCCACAATTTTTTTTTTAGCATTGAAAATGTGACTTTTTCCGATCTTAAGCTCGCTCTTTGTTATGAACTGTTTTCACTGTTATTAGAAATAAAATGGAGATAGGACAAGAATGTGCTGAGGTCGCGACGATTTGTATCGCTAGTTATGTCGACCCGGTTTTTTATAAAGAAAATGTGATCGCCTGGTGGGGGGGTAAGATGTTGAACGAATGTTGTTGGCACTCGTCTAAATGTGGCTCAATTTACTGTAAATCTTATCCTATAAGGCAAATAGAAGTTAAATTACCGTGCCGTTATCTAATTTTTCTACATGAACTTGTTCGTAGGAAGAAAGAATAATAGAGTTTAGTTGAAAATGATGACGTTTAAACAAGATCTATATATAGTTCAGAGAATGTATTGCTGTAAAGTAATTCGGTAAAAAAAAAAAATGGTAAACTGGTATGGGTTTAACGTCTCTATCAAGTAATTTGACACCTTAGCTCTCAGTGATCGAGGCCTTGTACAACTACAGTCTAGCTTGCACATTGAAAAATTAGCAGGATGCAAAAATCTTTTAATGTACTAATTTTGCTCTGTACGTGTTTTAAATTTAGATACATAAAAAAATATGTTCGGGTATTGGAAAAAATTTCAGGACCCGAAAATCTGTCTGCTGCAAGCGTGTTTGTTGCTATGTGTGTGCTGGACTATTATAGCTGCAAGCTAAACTGTTGCTATTGTTGTTATTCAAAATCGAATACTATGTCGTGATCTTTGATAATGTTGGTTCAGGAGTTGAGAGGTTAGTGAAAAGTGATGAGAGGTAATTAGTAATTACATTTACTCACTTTCTTGACTTCTATCACTATCAGCAGGCTGCTTAGAAATAGGGGCCTAGTAATGATGGCAAGTTTTTTAAATACTTTAAATGGGAGAAGTTGGAAATGAGAGTAATCAACCCTTTATGTCCTTGTTATGCTTGCCATATCCACTGCCAAATAAATCTGAGCGACGTATACATACTTTGTAAACTTTGTTCACATCCTATTTTTAGAAAATTTATTTACACTACACCAGAGAATCTGGACTGGAAAAAGATGGATGAAGTGAGGGGAAAAGGGAGTGGGGGGGGGTAATGTTGTTTTAGTTCTATTTTGTTCAGTCAGTACATTTTTATAATTGTTTTAAACCGGTTGGATTTTTTGTTTTCTGGCGTTGGATGTGAGGACCAATTTTACGTGTATACCTCAATAAAGTCTCGGGAGTACCATTCGTCAGTATTTTCATTGAACTGCTACAATGTCCTTTTATTATTGTGTAAGCTCCTATGGATAAGTCATCGCCTCAGAACTATTTTGTCCAAAGTGCCGCTGTACTAAAGTACACGTTGGACAAAATAAATCTGAGACAATGAAGTGTTGTTTGTAAAAATAGGGACTTGTAAATTGTCACTTCAGAGAACAAAAATGCTTTGGCTGAGGTTTAAAAAGAAAGGAAAAGAGATGGTGGGTAATAAGCCAGATAATCCTATGCACAACTTCCTTACTACTACTACTACTACTAGAATCTAGTCTCAGTTTTTCTATCGGTTTATTTTACAATGAATCAATGTCGTGCTATTGCTTGAATGTTCACCAGTGCTGTTTATCTCGTGTTTCAATTATACGCAATGTCTGTGTCCCATAGAGAATAACTAGGCCAGAGACGTTTGCATACAGAAGTGGGATCAAAAAGTATAGGGGAAAACACCGCCTGGCTTGTTGAGCTCTTGTTCTGGCTCTTGTGAAGTTCAGGCTTAGATGGAATCGAACTTGTGTTGTTCAGGCTTATAGCCTAACAGAATTGCAGTGATCTAAAAAGCAAGAAAGTTGACCTTCCATAGACTGACCACCTTGAGGCACATACAAGCATTCAGACTCATATACGCACGAACATGGTTTTCTCTTATTGCATATGATATAATAATAGATTAAAGTTTAAGTAAAGTTACCAATGATAATTGCATACTTAACATAATTAAATATTATATCACACTCTACCCTCGACATACAGTGAATGCTCTATGCACTTTATAAATTACAACTATCACTACCCCTGCAGACACTAGAACACGACTCTGAAACGTTCTTTGGCTTCCCGGGAAGCATACGGTGCAAGCTACGGATTATGCACACTAACAGACTGACAAAATTTGTTCACTTTCTATATATAATAATAACTGAGTACCCTATCCACTTGGGTGAAATGAGGAAAATTCATGTAATGATGTAATGTAAAGTGCCTTTCCCACGGACACAACGTCGGGCCCCTGACGGGATTCAAACCCAGGACATATGGTTGAGTCCGAGAGCTTAACCACTAGACCAGACCAGGAAAGCCACAACATAACTTAAGCCATAACGTTTTGTTTTTTTCACTAAGGAAATCATGCCATATAGAAACTTATCTGTACTATATCATGCACATTTTGTTTCTTCCAGTTTGAATTTGTTCCCAGACTTAATTAAATCCATTTACAACCAAAAGGTCATGCAGTACGCTACACAGTAAACTGTCCACCCTTAAATATTTTTTATGGGACTTTCATTTTCATTTTCTTTTGTTAATTTTTCGCAAATGCAACGTTAGTTTCTCTTTTCTCAAAATCAAAGTCTTCATTTTGTCCATCTCTATGATTATTCCTGAAAGTTAAAAGTGTGTTATTAAAGATATGATTTCTTTTATGTTTTTGTTATTAAAAGATTGTTTTTGTTTGTTGTTTTAGAAAACTTAAAAGATTTTATTTGTGTAAGGCCTTGCTTCTGGCAAATTTGAGCCAGTGTGGGAGCTTTTTATATATATATATATACCCATATATTCCCTGCACCGTTGAACACGTCTGATCTATGATATGATTTGTTTTAGAGATGTTTCCAACCAAGTTAATTGTTTGAGTGAACTCTACTAAGTAGAACGCTTAAAATAAAGTATACGGAAGGCTGTTCCATCTTTGAACGCAGTCTTTTTCCTGTATACGGAAGATTACAACTTATTCCATCTTTGAACGTAGAATTTTTTATTTTTTTTGTCATCCAAGTTTTTAACACCACAAACCACCCTTCAACACGACAGCCCTGATTTAACGTATATTTACATATATATATAT